TAAGTCTAATTCACTCCATAGCCTATCCGAAACTCACCGGAGCCCTCGGGGCTCCAAAGCAAATATGCACACAAGTCTAGAAATATCATACGAACTTGCTCGCGCGATCAAGTCGCCAAAATAACATCTAGAACTATGAATCGGATACCAAATCAAATGAAATTTTCAAGAAACTTTAGAATTGGTATTTTAACAAATGGACGTCCGAATCACGTCAAACCAACTCCATTTCTGACCAAATTCGACACACAAGTCATAAATATGGTAATGGACCTATACCAGATTCCGGAACCAAAATAGGGATCCAGTATCAACAAAGTCAAACATTGGTCAAACTTTTAGATTCATTAAACCTTTAAACTTTCAAATTTCGATAAAAAGGGATCATTCGAGCTAGGGACCTCCGAATACGATTCCGTACAGACGCCCAAGTTCCAAATCACAATACGGATCCACCGAAACCGTCAAAACACGGATCCAGATCCGTTCGGTTAAAACGTTGACTGAAGTCAACTCAATTGGATTTTAAGGGAAAAATTCATTTTTTTATTAATTTTTAACATAAGTTTTCCGGAAAAATAATCGGACCGCGCACGCAAATAGAAGAAGGCTTAAAGAAGCTATAGAAGGCTTCGAAACACTGAGTTAAGGTTTAAAACTCTAGATGACCTATTTGGTCATCCATTTCAGTCACTAGCCCTCGCATTATAAGATTCTCTCACACTGTGCAGCCTTCCTATACGCATGCGCCCTCTAGAAAATCTCCTAGGACAATATATTAATTAGTTGGGAATATATTTTAGTTGTATTAGTTTATATGCTTTTCTTTTTTTAGAGTTTTTAGCCCCTATTGGAGATTTTTATGCAAGTAGAACGATAGATTTCATGGCTCATCCTACTCTTTTCACGATAGTGTAACTATCTAATAATGTTTCTATATTCAAGGTATATTAATAGGCATCTCACCAATTCATGTGCATAATCGCGTACTTGTTTGTGCAGAGTGTCCTATAATGTTATTGGTTATTTGTTGTTGTCCAAGTGGATAACTGAGTTGGATTTTTTCTTTCCTCATTTTCAAGTTGGCTAATGCTTTAATTCTCTTTTTGACATACATGTTGATCTTCAGAATATGTACATTTCTGAGACCTAAGAAGGGAAAATTACAACAAAAGAGTCAAACCTGCTCATGTTACTAAAAGCCACTTACAATAGACAGATCATACAAAAGGATTATAGAAGTATGGATCCCTTGCAACCTCCCAATGCCATCCAAAAATCTTGAAGACTATACACAGCATGGAACATTCTACTCTAGAAGATCACTTGAAACACCATCACTGGGGTGAAGCTACATTATCCGAATGGTGGTCAATTGGTCACCCTTCGTCAAAAAATTACATTGTTTATATAAATAAAATATTAGGTTTTAGAGGTGCATAACATGTATTGAACACCCTTTACCGAGGTTTTTTTTCACTTCTTTCAAGTTTGAACACCCTTGCAGAAATTTCTGGCTTCGCCACTGTACCATCATCATAATCAGGAAAACAACTAGATAAGGAAATGGTGAAAAAGCTTTGATTGAACTTATTTGATATCACTTCCCTTTTTACTTTGCACTGTAAAATGAATCCTCTGCTCCACTATAATAGGTCTCTTCCTTTTGCTCGTCCTACATCACAATCTCCCTTATATGCTTGGTTTGCTAGTGACTGGTTACTATGGTGAGTCCACACTGGACTAAAATTGCTAAACCACTGGAAAGAGTCAAGCAGTATATGAGCAACCTTCTCCTCGAACAGATCATAATTGTTCAAGATTAAAACACAAGGGGTTTCTTTTGTCTGACCATTTTTTCAGAGAGTCCGTTGCTCTGCATAATCTATTCCGAAGTAGTGTACCACTCTACCAGTGAAGAGTTCTTTGATATGCATAATCTACTCTGAAGTAGTGTACCACTACCAGTGTCCTCAGGGGCAAGCAATATCTGATCATTGTCACTCATGACTACACAAAATACTACAACGCCAACATCTTCAAACGTCTCTCCCCACTTGCAACCGTCATTCATTCCACTGGTATTTACTGTAATTAGCTGGTACCTGTAAGGAAGCACATAAAAGCGTGTTTCTCAGTGATAACATGTGAAGAAAATGAGAACTCATAGCACTTATGATTTTCAAGAGGCTCGCTCCATCAACACAATAACAACTATCGGTCATAACCTATTAACATGAGATTTTAGTCTGTCACCTAGACTCACATAGATATTTACACGAGTATATAGGTAGTAAGGTAACATAGGTTCGATTTTTAGCAAGTTTTTACCCTGTTTGAACAATTAATACAAAATGCTCGTGTCTCCCTACAAAGATGAGACACTGGAATATCAATGTTAATTGAAGGATCTAGGAATACAGGAATCATTCAAGTGACTTTTTTCCCTAACAAATTATAAAAGCATAAATCCAGAAAGTTTTCCACCTGCAAAATGCAATCACTCTATTATCATATTTTCTTTAAATAGATTTCGCATCGAGCATCAACTATATTTATCTATACGCATAATCTTTCCCCGGATTGACGGTCCCTTTCTAGGCCTCTTAATTACGAACTAGCATAATCTTTTTTTTTCTCGATAAGTAGAGAAGATTTTATTAATATAACAGCAATAGCTTCATTAACATCTTTAAGTTTACACCAACTTAATTATGTTCTTCACCGTAGCAGGCATAGCCCACCATAACTAGCACAATTTAAACACATAAAACTATGCAAATAAAAAAGAGTACCTCATCTTTTGCATCTATCTCTGAGCCCATCTTTACTTCTATTTCCTTGGAGAACATATGCCTGTTAAATTGTGTAATTTAGACTAACTACATCAGTCAAAAACTGGAATCATCGAAGTTAATGACTTCACAAGATTTTGCAGATATATTTTAAACATCATGAGTTGGCATGCGTGCAAAATAAAAGTTTACACTGCCCATCAGAAATATGCATCAAACTAGAGTACATCTAGAGAATTCTCAACAGCTAAAACTAAAAAGATACTTAAATATCGCTTAACACCAAAGGAATAGATTCCAGGTCACCACCTATAAAGTTGAACTCCGTTAGTATTAAATTGCATCCATTTGTTCCTTTAACCACGACATTGTGGATCATAAATGAAAATAGAAACCATATAGTCAGCATAATATATTACAAATAATGAAGGTCCTTATTAATGTACCAACGAGGAATATCCTCTGACCTTAGTAGACTAGCAGTAATTCTAATAGTAAGTGGCATGCAGCATTTAAACTCCATATGATACCACTAGGAGATGTCACGTCTTTGAAACTGGTCAAAGGTGAAACAAGTAAATAACTGAAAATTAACAATGAAATAAGTTTCTTGAAGATTCCTCTCTGCAGTGCTCTATCTTTATATAGTTTATAGCAAAAAGACATCCCAAAGGGAAATCCATGACAAAAGGTAAAATTACCCAACAATTTTGAAGGATAAACCAGAAACAAATGACTGCAGCGGTAACAGCCAATAGCGTCAGAAAAATTCAATGTTGCAGTCAACATTTGGTGAAAGAAATCCATAAAAGAAACATCATGAAAATAAGCGACAAAATTGACAAAAAAAGAAAAGATATCTTTCACCACCTACAAACAGGAAACTTCAAGTGCAAAGACATAAACCGTGGCTAGTAAAAAGAAGGTAACCATTAGCTTGTCATTTAAACAGCGGACAATAATGGTTCTTGGACAAGTTATTGCGCAAAAGTATGAACGGAAACTTACTTGTAGAACAAACAACATACCTTCAGCACCTTGAGCTTCAGTTTAGTTATTTCTCGGCCATTGATATAGACCTGTGTGGTTCCATTGCTTGCTTAAGGACTAAATTTCCCAGTAAAATTCAGGTTTGAACTCACAATTCTGTCAGGTTTTTCTCCCTCCTGTTAAATTAAGAAGCCAAAGCTGTTGACTGCCAAGGGGCTAAGCAATGCTTGCCAAGTGTGGACCTCTTTGACTCATCAATTGGCTCACCTATGAAACTTACACATTTGCACCCCTCAGGCATTGAACCCATTGCTCTGAGCACACAATTGCTGCAACATTTTGCATCACACACAAGCATTCTCTTTACTTCACCACACCTAAACAGAATCTTGATTTCTTTTTCTCCTTCCTTTCCTTGGGAACTCCACCATACTCTGGAAAAACATTATTCTCAATGTCTACCACTTTTCTTTCAGATCTATTAATAGTTTCGAAAAGTGACAATAAGGGATCTTTCCCTCATTGGTAGAATGCTTTGCTGCATTCTCAGAGTCTGTGCTCAGATCCAGGGGACACTGACGAAGAACCTGAAGAAGAAGCAGGTTTCTACAGTACAGACACTTGGGATCTGAACTACCTGAAATTCTTGGATTTTGACTTGATGGACTGATCGCAACATTAACACGAGACATGTGCAATGGGATTGACTCTATAACAGGTGCAACATCAAGGCCTACAGATCTTCTTGACTATGAAAGAGGTTCTGTTATAAAAGCCGTGGGAATTGCACCAGAATTCATATCAAGGGGTTCTACTCTATGAATTTCGTATAATACATTGGATGACTATTGAGCAACTCTAATGCTATGAGCAATCCAGGCTAGCACCTTATTGGAGAAAGCAACCTCCTCGCCATCTCCCTCCAATTTTTTATTTCGAAAAGAAATGAAGTGGGAGAGAACAACTATTCTAGTTGTGTGAAAAGGTGGTGGGAGAGTTAAAATATTTCAAAGTTTCTTTTCCACCAACTAAAAATAAAATAGGCCAAAGAAGCAAGTCCTTGTACACGTAATGAATCTTGAAGTACTATTTTGGCAGAATAAAGAAGCAAGTCCTTGGACACGTAATGAATCTTGAAGTAATATTTTGGCAGAATGATTTTCAACCTTAAATTTTCATAGATAAGAATATCATCAGGATTTAGCAATATGAATAGAAATCACAAAACATTTAGGGCAAGCTTCTTAAATGATGATCACGGAATAAACACATTGTTACTTAGACATGAAGAACTACAAACAAGTCCCTGGATACTAACAAGTACAATCCTAGACTTGTCTATCAACTAAAAACCAGTTCCAAACATAAAGTAACAGGTGTCAGGTATGTTGGAATCAATACAGATAATAGGAATCAAAGATTGTCAATACGAAAAGACAACTCAGCATGCGGAGAGGATCTTGGAAAGCTTTGGAACTCCTGTGCCATTTTAACATAATCCTGAGACACATCACTCCGTCGAATTTGGCAGCAATGACGAACTTTTCTAGGGTTGTTGCATTCTTGAGCAAATATTCTACCAATGGTAGTACAGACTTATTTCCACTTAGTGGTCCATCATAGTCAATGATCTTGATGGTCTTCAAATGTAGCAAAGAGCAGTTATAATTATGTGTCTTGAACCTCTTAATGTGTTCATCCTCATTTGTGTACCTTGACAGCATGTCCTACAGGAAAGAATCCGCTATATTACCTGCTATTTTCCTTATATGGAAGTAAAAAGCCGAGGAGTTGATTGTGGATAAAAAAGGGTGACAAATTTTTAGATTCACAGAACATGTCAAGCATTTAGCAAATGTTACTTACATGGAAAAAAAAATGTTAAAAAGATTCAGTGTAGCTGATCATTTTTTTAAATTAAAAAAAGAGAGCTGATCCTTCTATCTCCTCACATGAAGATGAGTACTATCTCTTGCTAAACATCTATGTCCTACAACTACCAAAAAAGTTAAATACAGAACTGGCTTACTCATTCAATGATTCAAACAATTTTGAGAACGACAATATCAATTTCTGTCAAAGCAACTCAAGTTGAACTATTTTCTTGAAGAAAACAAACTGAGAGAACAACAAGGTTCCTCTAACAGTCTTACATGAAAGGGTACAATAAGTTCTATGATTTTTTTTCCTAAAGTACTAAATCAAAAATATGCTGATATATATTGTCTTCTTCTTACACTAATAGTTGTCTGATATTAATAACATGAAGTAACAAAAATATAGGTCTACAGGAAACTTACTCTTCGTTTTTTATTATACCATTCAATGACCAACGTCTCAAGATCCGGCGAACTCTGTAGAAAGCTGCAAATTCCAAGGAAGTCCGATTGTTCTAAGGCTGTGTCAAGTTTTAAATATTTCCGGCTTGATGGTGGAGATTGCCAGCCTTTCAACTCCAGTATGGAAAGGCACTTATAAACCAAATATGTCAAAACAAGGAAATGCAACACTGTTAATTAATGACATGCTAATTACTGAATATTTCAGAATAATAACTTGGACAATATGACTAGTTTTTGCCACATCAAAGTGTTCAAGGTTGGTTTGGAAATCCAAAGATGAACCTTTTCAACACTTTGAAGAGCATGATGAAAGTAAATCAATCTAAAAATTGAACCAAAACGACTTAATAAACCGATCTATGTTTTGGCACTAAATTATAGAGCCCCACAATATTTGGTTTGGTTTAGTTTTAAAAAAATAAAAACAAAAACAACACACACACACACACAATACTGCTTTTCAAGCTTTGAAATTTTCTACCGCTAAATGTTTAAAGAGGTTTAACACTCGTACTATTATAATTCGGGGTGACAAAAGGAAGAAATTAGTAAGGAAATACAAGATAAAGGAAGTAACAGCAACATACAAGTATTGATTTTCATCTCTAGTTTCTTGATTCAATTAGAATGAAAACCCAACATCCGTTGGTACGCAAAACTAACAAGACAATTGGGACTGCGTTCTCGGACTTTAAGTAGTGAACCCAAGGAGAACTATAGGTATTGAGTCTTAATTGTTGCTAGTAAAGTAGTTTGATTCTTCTATTTTATTTTTTTTTGATAAGGTGAAGATTTTATTAAAAACAGTATCAAGCTGATACTGTAAAAATACAAGGATATTGCTGGCTTAAAAGCATTAAAATCCTAAGCGATCTAGCATGCCCAGCATATCATGAAAATTCATAACAACATTTCCATCTTTCCAATAGTACAAAAAATGTAAACAACTGTATTTCACATATTGCAGCTGCTCCTTCTTGCCTTCAAAACACCTATTATTTCTTTCTTTCCATATCGTCCAAGCTATGCTAAGAGGAATATCTCTCCAAATCTTCTTTAAGGATGCTTCTGGACATGCAGGTTCCCAACACTCTAATATATTCCTGAATTTCTTAGGACTTGCCCAAAGGATGCCAAAGTTAGCCCTGAACATGGACCACACCTGCCAAGTAAATTCACAATGCAAAAAAAGATGGTCCACGGATTCACAAACTTTCTCACACAAGTAACACCTGCTGCACATTATCCAACCCCTTCTCATCAAATTTTCTTGAGTCAGACATGCTTCATGTGCTACTAGCCAACCAAAACATGCCACTTTTGTTGGGACTGTAGTCTTCCAAATCATCTTCCAAGGCCACTTTTGTGCTTGCACCGGCTGGGTAGCATTTAGTATTTTGTAGAGTGAACTAACAGTAAAAAAACCTTTTTTACTAGCTTTTCAGAGTAGGCTGTTTTCTTTTTCTGGCGATAACACCACTGATTGCATCTTCTGAATAAATATATCAACCTCATGCATTTCTCTGTCGAAGAGATTCCTTCTGCACTGGAAGTCCCAACCTGTATCAGTAAATATATCAGCTAAGAGGATTTTTGGATTATTGGCCAATCTGTACAGGTTTGGAAATTGAATTTTCAGCAGACCAGAACCATCCCAATTATCTTCCCAAAGTCTGATTTTTTTCCCGTTGCCCACCCTCAAGCCAGCATACATGTTAAATTTCTCCCATAGGTTACAAATCTGTCTCCAAACAGCTACCCCATATGGGGTCTTTACTGTTTTAGGTGCAAAGAAGCTCTCTTTTCCATATATCACCTCCACCCCTGCTTTCCGGGGGGCTTTTTTCCCATCGTTTAACCTCCATAGCCATTTGCATAGCAAGCTTTGATTGTGAGCTCTAAGATTTCTAACTCCCAGACCCCCTTCTTTCTTATGTTTTGTCACAATGCTCCACTTTGCTAAATGATATTTTCTCCTTTCTGTATCACCTTCCCACAAAAATTTCTTACTAATTTTATCAATTTTCTTCTCCACACTAGCTGGTATAGGAATCAGAGACATTAGATAGGTTGGTATTCCATCAAGAACACTGTTTACTAATGTCAATCTGCCCCCAAGTGATAAGTATTGCTGCTTCCAAGGAGCCAACATTTTTTCACACTTGTCAATTACACCATTCCACACTGATTTGTCCTTGAATTTTGCACCTAAAGGCAACCCCAAATAGGTAGTAGGAAACTTTTCAACCTTGCAACCCATTATATCAGCTAACATATTAATATCACTGTCAGCATTCAAAGAAAATATTGAACTCTTGGCCAGGTTTATTTTTAATCCCGTCACAGCTTCAAACGCCAACAGAACCACCCTCAAGTGAAGCACTTGATTTCTATCAGCCTCACACATCAACAAGGTATCATCAGCATAAAGACTATGAGAAATTTCTATACAAACCCTCCATTTTAAAGCCTTTTATCCATCCACTTCTCACAGCAGTTTTAATCATCTGACTCAATACCTCCATTACTAGAAGAAACAAGTAGGGAGACAGAGGGTCTCCTTGCCTTAAACCTCTTCGAGAACTAAAATAACCTACTGGACTACCATTGATTAGTATTGAGAACTTTGTAGTGGAGCACAAAATTTTATCCATTGAATCCACTTGCCCCCAAAATTCATCTTTTCCAGCAACTTCAGCAAACAAGGCCAATTGACATGATCATAGGCCTTTTCTAAGTCCAATTTGAACACCACACCAGGCAATTTTCTCTTCCAGTAGTAGTCTATACATTCATTTGCCAACAGTGATGCATCTGCAATTTGTCTACCTTTCAAAAAGGCATTCTGATTCTCAGAGACCAACTTGTTAATCACCAACTTCATTCTCTCAGTAAGGACTTTAGCTATCAACTTGTATATACTCCCAAGCAAACTAATAGGTCTGAATTCCTTGATGTTGGCAGCCCCTTTCTTCTTTGGAATCAAAGCAATGAAGGTTGAGTTAAAACTTCTAACAAATTCTCCTTCTCTGTGAAACACCTCAAATGTCTTCAGAACATCTTCTTTCACAATATGCCAGCATCTTTTGAAGAAACACATATTAAAACCATCTGGACCAGGAGCCTTATCCCCTTCTACCATCTTAACTACTCTTGTTACCTCTATTTCATCAAAAGGTCTCTCCAACCACTCTTTCTCTTGGTCACTGATGCTAGCAAGTTCTGAACACTTCCATGAAGGTCTCCAGCTCTCTTTTTCTGAAAAAAGATCTTTATAGATCTCAAGTATGTGGTTTCTAATCAAATTTTTGTCATCTGTGAAGTCCCCATCTATTTCTAGCTTATCAATCCAATTATATCTCCTATTTGAATTTGCTATTTTGTGAAAAAATTTGGTGTTATCCATAAAAATCTGGATTTTTGCCTCCAATGTATCTCTTCTACCTTAGATATGTGATGCAACTCATTTATTAATGCATTTCTAGCAGGTTCTTCTTCCTCTGTGTTACAATCAGGATTATCATTTTGCTACTCCATCTCCAATTGATGCAAGATCTGGTCTTTTCTTGTTCCCAGGTGCCCAAAAGTTTCTTTGTTCCACTTCTTTAAATCTTCTTTTAACTTTCTAAGCTTTTTTGCTAGAACCGCATCTGGTCTTCCTTGAAAAATATACGAATTCCACCATTTCTCCACTGTGCTTATAAAATTAACATGTTCAAACCACATATTTTCGAACTTGAAATACCCTTTACATCTCTCCCATTCCCCACACTCTAATAGTATTGGACAATGGTCTGATTCCACCCTAGGTAGCACGCTTTGTTTAATAGCTTTGAAGGAATTATCCCATTGACTTGAAATTAAAAATCTATCTATTCTTGAGGCTGAATGTTCATTATTGCCTCTGAACCATGTGTACTGCCCACCATGTAAAGGAAGATCAATTAGCCCCATATCATCAATGAACCTTGAGAAATCTCTCATAGCCCTAGTATTTTTTGCCCTTCCAGTTCTTTCATCCTCAAACCTTGTGATATTAAAATCGCCTCCAACTACCCAAGGCCAATCTTCTAAATCTGCAACTGCCCCAAGTTCTTTCCATAGTTCTTTCCTCCTCTTTCTATCACAAGGCCCATATACCCCAGAGAAAGAAAATTTAAAATCAGAATTTTTATCTTCCAAAAAAACACTTGCTGAATACTCCCCCACCAATTTCTCATTACAACTCCATCTCCTTTTATCCCACATAAGTAAGATTCCACCACTATTTTCTCTTGCTTTAAGTTCTAACCAGTCTGTCCACTATAACATGGTGTTTTATGTTTTTATTTGTTCCAACTTGTTTATAGTCTTTTTCCTTCTTTCGTTCCTTTTTAATCTGTTTTTTATTTCACTAGAGTCATTAATCTTATTCTTCTATTTTCTCCACTTGGGCACTGAAAATTTTAATGTTTTGGCACCCAAAACTCTTTCTGACTTAAGTGTTCAAAAACATTACATATAAACTAGAAGAAATCGCCAAACCGACAAAACCAAAACAGATATATTTGTACTATGTTTGGTTTGATTTGGTTTAAACATTTAGAAAATCGACTTAATTGGTATGGCATCCTTTTAAGATAAAATTGTACCAAACAGAACCATGAACACCCCTACTATCCATTACAAACTCTTTACTTTCACAGTTCATCTTCCAAAGTAATGCTAAGAGGCCTAGTTTCAGTCACCTACCACTGTCCAACCAAATTGGCCATGAAAATGTAATTCTTCAATTACCAACTTAGTTATCAAGTTATACTAAGGAGTGGCATTAATGATACTACGCAGATGAATTCAATAAAAAGTCTGAATTTCAGATAGTGAAGAGTATGAATGAACCTCGATGCCCCAGGGACCCAACTCAAGATCCTCGACATGGGCAACACTATGAAGAAGTTCCTTCAAATAGCCATTCTCCGCCTCCGAGTTGCGTTCTTCATCTACTATATAGCCAAAACTTGAACACAATATTGAACTGACAAGTGAAGCCACATTTCTCAAGCGTATCTCATCACAGAACCCCAAAAGTTCAAAATATTTAATATGGGGGGCTAATATTTCGAGGGGAGAAAAGTCGGGATTCTTATTTTGGTAATCTTTAAGGCTCAAATATGTCAGCTTCACAGAGCTGATTTCCAAACGACTAATGCCCAAAACACAATCCAGTTCCAAGTGCTCCAAGTTAGGGCAACCTGATAATATCTTCTCCAACATATTATCCGTCAAGTTCAGGGACGCGATTGAAAGAAATTCGAGACTACTCCAGTTAACACTACCAGAAGGTTTCAGTTCACAGTTGATTAAAATCAAACTCCTCAACAACGTATTCTTATAAGCAAAATTAGGAAGCTCATATTTTGGGTGATTGTCCGAAACAAATAGAAGTGTAAATTCTTCAACATTAGCAACTTTAGTTGCAAAATGTACCCATAAATCAATATCTTTAACATAACTATTGTCGTACCTAAAGAGTGAGCCCCTGAAGCTTCTGATTTTCTGGCAAGACCTCCAATAATAGAGCTCTCTATTGGTGGAAGCTATGAAATCCTTTTCGCCGTAGCTATTGGGGGACTCAAAATCGAGAGATACTGGCACGGACTTCCACAGAAACCGCCATCGCTGAGATAATACGCTGGTTCTCACAACTTCTTTACTGTCCCACCACAACATAGAGAGAATATGGAGTAGAATTGAGTCGGGCAAATCGCTGAGTCTGTCTCCTCTTGCCATGACTTTCCTCTCCATTTCCATGGAGTAAACCTAGTTCAGTTCATCTAAAGGCTAGGAGCCATATGAAAATGTAGCAAAATATTGAAACAGTAACTTGATTGGATGAAAAAGTGTTTGTTTTGATTATTTCATTAAAAAATCCCTTTTTTTTTTTTTTTTTTGGTACGTTGAGATTGTTTCCTATTTTTCTTTCGAATTATACCCTAACTTATTACTCCATAATCTTATATTATCCTTTAGCTTTTTTTTCTATTTTAAGTCCAAATCTCCAACCTATAACCTACTTTATTTTTTTCCAGAACTTCACCCGCCAACGTTAAAGGTGTTTTGCCACCTTCTGTTTTATTTTTTTCTCCTAATTTGTTAACTCAATTCTAATTAGTTGTGCTCATTTGTTTTGCCTTCTTCTGTCTCACTCCTTTGTTCTGCTTTCTTAAGGTATTTTGTCTTCTTCTGTTTTTATTTTTTAAAATAATTTTCATGCATATTTTTTGATAAATTTAATATTTAAACAATTGAGGGTATTTTAGTAAATTTATGAGTTACAATACTGTACGATACAGTCAAACCAAACACCAAAATATTATTTAACAATAACAAACAATACAATCTATCCAAACATTGTATTCATGAAACGATACGATACAATATGTTACAATACAATACAATACATTATAAAACGATGGGGAACAATGATCAAAACAGAGTGTAACTTTTTCTAATTAGTATGATAAAGTGGTATAAAATTAAAAGAAAAATATTTTGTTACTTTACAGCTTGTTTGGATGGTTTATGGTTGTTACCCGTCGTTTTATAATGTATTGTATTGTATTTTATCGTTTGGCGAATAGAACGTTTGGATAAATTGTATTGTTTGCGGTTGTTAAATAATATTTTGTGGTTTGGTTTGACTGTATTGTACTATATTGTAACTGTCAAGAACTACGCATAAAATTAATTTAAGAAAACCCCTCTCTACTAATTCTGTGAGCGCTACTATGTTAAAACACAAAATCAGAAAACTGTTAGAAAAATAAAAGAAACTGGAAAAATAGAAGAGTTTAAGAAATATTCCGAGTCCACAATTTGCTTGTGTGTCCTTAAGGAATTTTAACCCCCTCACACGTTGCCAAGGTAATGGATTAAATCCTCCCAGAATGAAACGGAATAAACCTTCCTGCAACAGTGGCAATACAAACTGCAGGATACCAACGAACTTAAAGAACGGAGCAAAATCACACTTACGAATTTGAGAGAGAGAGACTGCGAATTAGAATGCAGTATATTCAGAAAGAAGGAAGTTTTGTAGTGTTTTTGGTCTGTTAAAAACGAAGCCATGCCTTAGAATTTATAGGCAATTATTGGAAGAGGTGTGATGTTTGTTCTGGAAAAGGTGCCTGTTCAGAAATTTCGCCGCCTGCCGCGGTCCCACCGCGGTTACGCTAGGACCGCGGCCAAAGTGGCTATCTGAACTTGTAGAAGGGGCCTGCCGCGGTCCTACCGCGGTTACGCCAGGACCGCGGCCAAGGTGGCTCTCTGAACCTTCAGCAGTGATCTGGCATTTAATTAATTATTAAATAAATAATTAAATAAATTTTGTCCAAAAAATAATCTTATCGATCATTTGACAAATCTAAATCCAAATCCGAAGCGGAAGCCGAAGCCGAGCCGAGCGACGACGACGACGGCGCGATGGTTCATTCTCTTCAACTCCTTTTAAGAGCTTTAAGAAGTGATTCTATATATAAGCACACAAATGTAGTTGTCCCTCACCAATGAGGGACAAAGTGCAAGACAAAAGCTCACTTCTTCAAATTTTCATTTTTCCCTCCATTTTATTTCCCTCCATTTCCAATTCACACTTTTATACTTTAAAGCCCAAATGGCTTAAAAGTCCAACAATCCCCCACATGAACGAGAATAGCTGTATCAAGAAAGATCATAGATGAAAGCTGTGTGATTTGCAAGTAAGGATTAATTGCATCTGGATAAGTAGGTTTCCCTTTGAACTTTCCGTAGTGAACATATGTCGGATATACTCGGTCAATCGGTAGATTTGATATCTTTGAACCGTCGAACTTTAGTGTATACCTAGACAACCATATGTCACACAACCAACCCTTAACCGTCTTTTGGTTCTCATTGTTGTGTTCATTTCAGCCATGAACACCGCCTGGTTTCATAAGTGCGTAGAGAATTGGCCTTACAGAATTCTCATTGAAGCGGCTTCTACTTCACACTTACGTAGGTGATTCCTAGACGTGTAATCCTCTAGATTGACACTATTTGATACATACCACATCACTTAGGTAATCATTAAAGAACGTGTAAAGTTCTATCCTTGTTACTGAACATTGGCTTCATCACGAGAATGGACCAAAGATTTTATGTTGACAATGTTGAACCGGTCAATCACAACTTTGTTTGAGCTCCTTGAGCCTAGATCTCGGAACATCCAAAATTCTAGGTAGAGTTACCGCCATGTTTACTTGTCCTCGGCCATAGTCCAATTCCCTTAGATGATTTCTCAACTCCCTCTCTAGTTAAGTCTTTTGTAAGCGGATCCGCTACATTATCCTTTGATCTTACATAATCAATAGTGATAATTCCACTAGAAAGTAGTTGTCTAACGGTGTTATGTCTTCGTCGTATATGACGAGGCTTTCCGTTATACATAACGCTTCCTGCCCGTCCTATTGCAGCCTCACTATCGCAATGTATGCAAATAGGAGCCAAAGGTTTTGGCCAGAACGGAATGTCTTCTAAGAAATTTCGAAGCCATTCAGCTTCTTCACCGGCTTTATCCAAAGCTATAAACTCTGATTCCATTGTAGAGCGAGCAATGCATGTTTGTTTGGAAGACTTCCAAGATACTGCTCCTCCACCAACAGTAAAAACATATCCACTTGTGGACTTTGTTTCTGTTGAGCCGGTTATCCAATTTGCATCACGATATCCTTCTATAACCGCAGGATATTTATTGTAGTGCAACGCGAAGTCTTGGGTATATTCCAAATATCCCAGAACTCGTTTCATTGCCACCCAGTGATGTTTGTTGGGATTACTTGTGAATCGACTAAGTTTACTTATTGCACAAGCTATATCAGGTCGTGTACAATTCATGATGTACATTAAGCTTCCCAACACACGAGCATACTCCAATTGAGACGTACTTTCACCTTTATTCTTTATAAGATGATGATTTAAGTCAATTGGAGTTCTTGCACTTCTAAATTCCAAGTGTTTGAATTTTTCAAATACCATTTTCACGTAATGTGATTGAGACAAAGCTAGACCTTGAGGAGTCCTCTGGATTTTAATTCCTAGAATTACATCGGCAACTCCTAAGTCTTTCATATCTAACTTACTAGCAAGCATACGCTTAGTAGCTTGAATGTCGGCAATGTTTTTGCTCATTATTAGCATATCATCAACATATAAGCAAACAATGACTATATGATTTGGAACGTTCTTAATGTAAACACATATATCACATTCATTAATCTTAAAGCCATTTGACAACATTGTTTGGTCAAATTTCGCATGCCATTGCTTGGGTGCTTGTTTTAGTCCATAAAGGGACTTAACAAGTCGACACACCTTCTTTTCTTTTCCCGGAACCACAAACCCTTCAGGTTGGTCCATGTAAATTTCTTCCTCTAAATCACCATTTAAGAAGGCCGTTTTTACATCCATTTGATGGATTTGAAGATCATACAAAGCGGCTAACGCTATTAGCATCCGAATGGATGTAATTCTTGTTACCGGCGAGTATGTGTCAAAATAGTCAAGACCTTCTCGCTGTCTAAATCCTTTGACAACAAGTCTTGCCTTGTATTTGTCAATAGTACCATCGTCTTTCATTTTCTTCTTGAAAATCCATTTAGAACCCAATGTTTTGTTACCTGGAGGAAGATCAACAAATTCCCAGGTATGGTTGCTCAATATGGATTCTATTTCACTATTGACCGCTTCTTTCCAATATTGTGCTTCTGATGAAGACATTGCTTCCTTGAAGGTACGAGGNGGTCTAGTGCAAACATCTGCCCTCTCTCCACCCTGGAAAAGTTAAAGGTGGACAGTGAGAGAATCCACAAGAATAGTATTTGCATGCGAGGATTTGATGGAGGAGGAAAGGACACAGTTGGGGATATAGTGTTGGAACTGACGATAGGTCCGGTTGAATTTACTATGGAGTTCCAGGTGCTCGACGTGGCTGTTTCTTACAATCTCTTGCTAGGCCGACCCTGGATTCATGCAGCAAAAGCAGTGCCATCTACCTTGCACCACATGGTCAAATTCGAGTGGGACAGGCAAGAGATTGTGGTGCATGCGGAAGATAGTTCGTGTGCTCTGGGTGGTGCCATTGTGCCTTTCATAGAAGCTGAGGAAGGCAAAGGTCCATGGGTTTATCAAGTCTTTGATACGGTATCGGTTGAAAAGATCCCGGAAGGGGAGTGTATTCCTGTGCCAAAGGTAGCTGCTGCATCCGTCATGGTTGCGTCGGAAATGCTGAAGAACGGATTTGTACCTGGAAAAGGCTTGGGTGCTTCTTTGCAAGGCATCGTACAGCCGGTATCCCTTCCTGGAAACCTGGATACTTTTGGTTTAGGCTTCAAGCCCACTGCTGCAGACATAAGGCGAGCTAGAAAAATGAAAAAGAAAGCATGGACCCTTCCAAAACCTATTCCCCGTCTTTCCCGTTCCTTTGTCAGGCCTGGTACTAAGAAGCGCCTAGCAACAGCAATGCCCAGTTGTGTGATTGATCCCAACAAGGAGCTGATCGAGAGGTTTGAGAAGCTATTTGATGAGGTGAATGTGTTGGAGGCCGGAGAAGGTCCAAGCAAGGCAGAGGTTCAGTTCGTGGGGCCCCAGGCAAAGCTTAACAATTAGGAAGCAACTCCCCTTCCTACTCGGAGGGAGTCTTGGTTGTTAGTTTTGATTTCCTTTTAGTTTAATCTGGATTATTTCCAAGGTTGTAATTCGGATGCTATGTTCCGTCCGTTTGGATGAGTTAAACCTTGTTATCATAAATGTTAATGAAATGCAATTTCCCTCCTTTTTCATTCCTGATAGTTTGTA